TAACATTTATTTACTTTTCCATAAAAAATTTTTATTTACACAAAGTGTATTTAGTATCTCATAAAGTGTTTTATTGTATCAGTTTTTGTATTTACACATTGTATTTACCAAATCTCACAAAGTGTTTTATTGCATCAGTTCTTGTACTTATTGTATTTACCAAAAGTATTCAGATTTTGTTTTATAAGGATATAAAATAAAGGTAAATGCGCATTTTCTTGTTCTATTTTTTCTTCATTTCGATTTAAAACCTTGTTGTGGAAGGTATAAAAATCGTGTGGCTGAAGCTAGAAACCACGTGGACGCTATATGCATACGTCTCTCAAAATTCGTGAAATTTTCACGTTGATCTCCCCATTGAATCGATGATCTAATCCACGTGGATCCTAGTACCGTTTTTGAGCGGATAATCTACTCGATGTTCCACGTGGATATCGACGTCGATGATCCATGGGATAGGGACGTGGATTCCACGTTCTTGTATTTGTCGGGAATTTACCTCTAATATCGAAGGTGACAAATTTTTTAATAGCCTATGTATTCAGGACAGAAAAGAAAATATATATATACAGGGTGTTCGGAAATTCTACCGACACAAACTTTCGGAGATTGTCGAAGACATCAAAGAATCATTTTTTTATAAATAAACCTAGGGTTAGAAACGTGTCATTACATCGCTACGACAGAAGGGGTGTTCGAAAAAGATCGAAACTTCGAAATATCTAAACAAATATAAGTTTTATAAAAAATTGTTTCAGACAAAAGTTGTAGGGTGTAAAAAGATCCATTTAGTGGCCTTATGAGTTTGACCTTGGGTGGCATCAAGATCAGGTCAAGATCATCTTGAATTTTTTTAAGGAAATCTCCTATTTCGTATGCCGTAGCGATGAAACAACCCATTTCCTATCCCAAGTTCATTTGCAAACAATGATCCTTAGAGTGTCCCTAACAATCTCTCAAAGTCTGTTGGTTGGGGATACCCTGTGTATGTGTGCGTGTGTGTCTAATAAATGAATTATAAAAATTATAAATTATATTTTAAAAAATATATTTAATATAAGTTAATGAAAGAAGAGAGATAGCCAATAAGTGTTAATCGTGGTTTATATGCACTTGTGCTGCAAAAAATATTATCAAGACATCGGTAGTCGAATTATTATGTCGTTCTGTTCGACAAATGGAGAAGTCTAGATCTAACTATTACTATAAGATAGTATTTTGTGTAAAATTTAAGGAAAAAATATCTAAAGAAGATAAAATAATAAATATGTAATTAATTAGTTGGATAATCTAATGGAATTAATAAAAATAATTAGAATAAAGATTCTGTTTAGAAAGTAGATGTGAAAAGTAAACGTGGAAAGTAGATTCATTGTGTTCGTTCCAAATCCGGAAAAACGTACATTTATATACTAAACTGTTATTATTTTTTCATAGTTTAAACCTCCTCACTAAGCGTGAATCTCTTTTGATTTATTCAATAATAAATAATTTTCCCAATTTTTTGAATTAAAAATTGTAACAATAGCGTCTTATATGTATTAATATTTAAATTAAATAAGTTATGACTAAAATGCATAAGTAGTAATAGAATAATTGATATGTTGAAACAAAATAAGTGATATTTAAGTTAAATTGTCTAATACAAACTAAATAACGATTCAAAAGATTTAATTGTTATTATATATTTTGTAATAAATTCTATATTACACGAAGTATTATAGACTTATTATATTTTATTTTATATATATATATATATATATATATATATATATATAT